TATAATAATTATAATTAATACTGTTATTTTAAAGAGCAAGAAGAAGTATCTTTCTTTGAAAATCCCGACCCGATAGACATATTGTATATATAGCGTTTGTCTTTCAAAAGCCAACAACGCACTTGTAACACCTCTGGTGTTCCAGGTGTCCATGGGCGACGCCGATTGCTTACCATCAGGTGATCCGTCTGCTCGTTTACCGACCAAAATCAATTTAAAATATTGCGACACGTATTTATTAATTTTTTTATTATGTATTTTAAAATACTGTGAACTGACAATGTATTTGACAAATGCATATCATAACTATATGTGATTTTTCACGTGTACCCGATATGTAAACGAATAAAATCATTTCATCAAGACCTCGCTTTGTATGATGTCTTGGTACATTTAAAGGTCAATTTATACTGGTTTTATTTGGTTCGATTCATGGAGGTGTAAACCATTTTATCAAGACCTCACTCTATTTGATCTTTCTGCACGTCGATGGTCAGCTTATATTGGTTTATATTCCAACGTAGTTGGAACACACGACGAGTTATAAATGTCCAATTTATCGTGACCTCGATTTCTATGATCTCTCCGTACATTTAACGGTCAATTTATACTGGTTTATAATTGGTTTGAGGCATAGAGGTATAATGGACCAATTTATCAAGACCTCGCTCTATTTGATCTTTCTGCGCGTTCGACGGTCAGCTTATATTTGCTTATGTTCTATCCCACCGGGGCTCCGGCTCAAAGTGTAGGAGTAGGAACGGGGTGGTTTTTAGTCAGTAAGAGTTTGACACTCCCTCCCGCCTCACCCAGGCGGGAGTCATTGGATGATTTTCCCCCTCAAAAAAAAGCATCTCATAGGTGACTCTAATTTTTTTGATAAATTGATAATACAGGACCAATTTATGAAGGTCTTGTTAGTATGATATTTTCGTACAATCAAAAGTCAATTTGTTGATATGTAAGAATTGTGGCAATTGGCGTTTCATTGTCTCTGCCTAGCCCTAGTCATCAGACCACCACGGTGGGGCCCAGTAGGGCTGATGCCGATACGGAGTCGCTGAGAACCTAACGGGTAACCGGGGCTCAGACTCGACGTGCAGGAGAAGGAACGGGGTGGTTTTTAGTCAGTGAGAGTCTGACACTCCCTCCCGCCTCACCCAGGCGGGAGCAGTCATTCGATGATTTTCCCTCCTTCAAAAAAAATTGTCTCTGCCTCCTCCCATGGGAGACAGGCGTGAGGTTATGTATGTATGTCAAAGATTTGTTAACATTGATTACTTAACACATATACCTTGGTCAAGATTTAATTACCTGATTATTTTATTTATCTACTTTAATTAAATGAGATACATTATAGAAATTAATTTTAATTACTATTGAGATTACCAACTTCCGACTATGATTTCGTTAAACACGTACACATAACATCACGGCTTTTATCCCCGAACAGGTAGGCATTACGGCACATGCCACTGTACAATGTAACACGCACTTTCCACTATTCATGTTATGAGTCCCATGTAATAGGGGGTGAGCCTATTGCCATATACCGGGCACAATTCCAGACTACTTGCTACTACTGAGATTTTTTTAAATGCCCAGTAAAACTTTGCTCGACCCGGGAATCGAACCTGAGACCATTTGCCCGGCAGTCGCAATACAATTATGACAAGCCCTATTTATAGGACTCATAATATAAAAAGTTTTACATAGGGAACGTGCACCTCTGTCTACCCCTTTTATAAAATACTAGCGACCCGCCCCGGCTTCGCACGGGTGCAATATGCATGTATTATTATACACATAAACCTTCCTTAAGAATCACTCTATCTAATAAAAAAAACCGCGTCAAAATCCGTTGCGTAGTTTTAAAGATCTAAGCATACATAGGGGCAGACAGACGGCGGATAGCGACTTTGTTTTATACTATGTAGTGATAAGCCCTGTTATATTAAGGTTGTCGCGGAGAACCTAACGGGTAACCGGGGCTCCGGCTCGAAGTGCAGGAGCAGGAACGGGGTGGTTTTTAGTCAGTAAGAGTCTGACACTCCCTCCCGCCTCACCCAGGCGGGAGAAGGCATTCGATGATTTTCCCCGCTAAAAAATATTATATTAAGGTTATCATTTTCGAAATTGGGATTAACAGCACGGAACTGCGTCCGGTATTTAGCAATAGGCGTCGCCTATTACAATGGTAATTAAGAATGTGATCATCGTGTTATATGCAACAGTATTAAGTAATTCAGTACCTACCTACATACACTGCTTTCGTCAACTAAAGCATATAGCGTGAAGGTAGAATATATAGAAATTGTATTAAAATAGTAACTACCTCGTTGGCCGAGTAGTCGCAAGTGCGACTGCCGAGCAAGGGGTCTCGGGTTCGATTCTCAGGTCGGGCGTAGTATTACAGGGTTTTTAAAAAATTTCAGTAGTAGCACGGAGTCTGGAATTGTGCCCGGTATATGGCAATAGGCTCACCCCCTATTACATGGGACTCATAACATAAATAGTGAAAAGTGGGTGTTACATTGTACAGTGGTATAATGTTTACCTCTGCCTACCCCTTCGGGGATAAAAGGTGTGATGTTATGTAATACTCAGTCAAACTATAATATGCTGTAGCCACTAAAAAGCCTCGGAATCTTTTTTTAAATAAAGATAGCGGAAGCTCCTTCCAACCCTTAGGTATCCTATTATAAATAACTGGAGCCATGCAGTAGACAGTCTTGCGCATAAGTGCTGTCTTACAAAAAACATTATTCAATTTGAACCAGCTGTTTTGGAGATTAGCGCGGTTAAACAAACTTTTCGGATTTAATATTTAATGTTAGTACAGATTAGTATAGCTGTTTGGTTAGTATCACAGGTAGTCTAGACAGAACTAGGTATTATTTGAATAACTGCATATAATTGTGTAAAGTGCGAAAACACACGTATTTTGAAGATCAAAAAATCAATATTTGTAATGGTTAAATATTATTTAATGAGCAATTTAACTTGGCGTACTCATTAACATTAATGGGTTCACCTTGTGGTGGTTGCAGAGTAGAATACATTTGAGACCACCGCTACTCTTTCCGTGGGTGTCGTATACCCGACTAAGGGACTACACATTTGACAGAGACCGGGCATCAGCGCTCTCTGATAAACTAGAACCATGGGGTAATTAGGTCTCCGGTAACTCACACGACGAAACACTACGCAAGCGTTGTTTCACGTCGGTTTTCTGTGAGGCCGTGGTATCACTCCGGTCGAGCTGACCTATTCGTGCCGAAGCATGGCTCACCCACACTTAACCTTGGTACTTTTGAAACGTCAACAAATCCTTACTTATAATATTATAAATCGGAAAGTGAATTTGTTTGTTAGTTTGTTTGTTTGTTCCGCTTTCACGCCGTAACTACTAAACCGATTGCTTTGAATTTTTGCAGACGTAAAGTTAGAAGTCCGGATTAAATGATATGGTACTTTTATCCCGGAAAAAAATGATATTCCCGAGGAAAAACAAAAATATTGGTATAGATGGCGCTGTGTGTATTGGTATATGTCACATAGGCTAATTTTTATCCTTTTGTGACGCGAGCGAAGCCGCGGGTAAAAGCTAGTGTAAAAAAAATAATAGGCTGTCAGTCTGTCCGTCAGTGAAGCTAGGCGCTACAGCCGAGACCATAGCTATAATAAAGAAATTATTTTTTCCGTTTTTCTTTTTAATTTTTCTGTGTTACGAGCGACATATACCAAAATAACATTTTTCTACAATTCTTGTCGGTGTGTATCTGTCTTTGTGCTGGCTAATCTCTGAAATGGCTGGACCGAAAACGACGAGGCTTATTATAATGTAGATACCAAAATAACATTTTTCTACAATAATTCTTATCTGTCTGTCTTTGTTCAGGCGGATCTCTGAAATGGCTGGACCGAATATGACGAGACATTTATTTGTACGTAGCTGATGTACTAAAGAGTAACCAAGGCTTCTTTTTCCACGCGGGGGAAGTCACGCGTACAAGTAGTTTAACATAAAAAGTTGATTTATATAGCGTCAAAATCTGACTGTTTTTATGAAGTACCGAAATACATATAAGCCAACAGGTTTTATCAAAACCAGCATTCTTTTTTGTTAATTCAACCTAGATATTGGCCTAGGTCAGTTTTTGATGAATCTTAATACACAAATTAGGTATACATTATAATGTATTTATGAATTTTAATCAGTGTTATGCACTTACGATACGTATGATGGTAAGCAATCGGCGTCGCCCATGGACACCTGGAACACCAGAGGCGTTACAAGTGCGTTTTGGGCCTTTTGGGGATTAGGAATTTGAGGATCGTTGGGGATTCAGGGATTGGGGAGATTGGGAAAGGGGAGGGTAATTGGGCCTCCGGTAACCTCACTCACATGACGAAACACAACGCAAGCGTTGTTTCACGTCGGCTTTCTGTGAGGCCGTGGTATTACTCCGGTCGAGCCGGCCCATTCGTGCCGAAGCATGGCTCTCCCACATTTAAGTTTATTAAAAACACTAGCAGACCGTCCCGACTTCGCACGAGGTAGACAATTATTTATTTTTGGAAATTTGGATTGTTGTAGTGACATAACTACAATAGTTGGACATATGGTACCGCGGAGTTTTTTGGAGACATTAAGATGTTCTTCAATATTGTTGTACATTATTTTGTTCTATCGCTAAAAGTTTCGGCAGCGCATTCGACGAAAGACATTTTAAGACTCATTTTTCTACACCTTCGGTTACATTACATTGTTCAAATTATGCCAAGGATCCCTAATTTTTTTCAAAATGAAATGTAGCCTATGTCAAATTGGAAGAATGTAGCATTCTATTGGTGAAAGAATTTTTTAAATCGGCCCAGTACTTTTTGAGCCTATTCATTACAAACATACAAAAATAGGTACAAATCTTTCCTCTTGATAATATTAGTATAGAAGTATAGATATAGATAATCCAATTTTCTATATCTCTTTCACAGCAATGGCGGCCGAAACGCTAACCGAAAATCAGCTGTTTGAAGCGAAGCAAGGAGGTGACATCACCTACATGGACATGATTGAAGAAACTCAGCCTCTAGGAGACTCTCAGATACAGAAACTCTTTGCTGGGTCCGCCGTCCTCCTGACAGGAGGCACCGGCTTCCTTGGAAAACTAGTCGTGGAAAAATTATTGAGGTATGTTATTTTTATTATTGTACCAACGTTTTTATTTATTAAGCTTGTCCTATTTGTTTGTTTGTTTGGGTCTTTAGTGATTGGAATTTCGCCCCCTTCCTGACGATAGATTGATCTGATATTTGGTACACACTCTTAATCTTGATGGCCATACAATATAATCTAATTGTTTCCACAACTACCTCTATTATGGTTATGGGTATTAAACGTAAAGGGCTTGATTGCCACCGTAAGCGCGGGCCTGCGGACCGCGAGCACGGGTGGCCCGACCAGAACCAGACCTGAGCGTACGGCGCCGAGCGTTCCACGCGCGGCTATAGAGCCATCAGACCACCACGGATAGGACCCAATAGGCCTGCCTGATGCCGATACGGAGCTGCAGAGAACCCAACGGGTTACCGGGGCTCCAGTTCGAAGTGCAGGAGTAGGAACGGGGTGGTTTTCAGTCAGTAAGAGTCTGACACTCCCTTCCGCCTCACTCAGGCGGGAGGAGTCATTCGATGATTTTCCCCCCTTAAAAAAAAAGGGTTTGATTGTAGAATAGAGCTCATTGAAACCGTTTCACATTTTTTTATTTGAATTAGCCGGTAAACGAGCAGACGGGTCACCTGATGGTATGCAATCGGCACCACCCATGGATACCCGAAACACCAGGGCCGGAGACGTTACAAGTGGTTTACCGCCCTTTTGGGGATTAGGAATTTTAGGATTGTTAGGGATTGGGGGATTTGGGAGATTGGGGAGAATAATTGGGCCTCCAGTAACCTCACTCACACGACGAAACACGACGCAAGAGTTGCTTTACGTCGGTTTTCTGCTCGCCTGTGGTATCACTCCGGTCGAGCCGGTCCATTCGTACCAAAGCATGGCTCTCCCACACTTAACTCGTCGAGTACCGTATTTATAGACACAATTAAAGAACAATAGGTCGCGGTCACCGGTGACCGCTTGGTGTTTGACAGTTTAAATACAAATTTTACTTATAGAACCGTCTTAGCGTCTGGCCGCTCTCTCGCCTGGTGGTAAGCGATGAAGAAGAACCTTAGGGTTTTCACAATATTCAATTTCTTAGTCGGTGTAGCGCTGATGAAAAATTCATACCTATTTTATCTCCATCAGACGGACTATAAACCGTGTTTGACACCTCAGTGGTACGTAATCTATCAAAAAACCACATTAATCTACATTTTTAACAGACATGCTTAACCACACTTTCTTTAGTAAAACATGAATAACATGATTGTTATATAACAAATAAGTTACACATTATGTTTAGTAATTTAAGAAAGTAACAATAAATGTGTACTTTTTAACAAAACCAGGTTAAAAACTATACCGTTATTAAACTTGTTGCGGTAATGATGCAATATTTTATTGTACATTTTGATCTTATTTCATAAAATATACCTGTGTACCATTAGAAGCTAAAGAAGTATGTAAGGAGAGTAGTAGGTGGTGCTCTGTAGTTTCTGTATACCATCAGATGTATGAATGTGATGGAAGCTAAAGAAGTATGTAAGGAGCGTAGTAGGTGGCGCTCTGTAGTTTCTGTATACCATCAGATGTATGAATGTGATGGAAGCTAAAGAAGTATGTTAGGAGCGTAGTAGGTGGCGCTCTGTAGTTTCTGTATACCATCAGATGTATGAATGTGATGGAAGCTAAAGAAGTATGTAAGGAGCGTAGTAAGTGGCGCTCTGTAGTTTCTGTATACCATCAGATGTATGAATGTGATGGAAGCTAAAGAAGTATGTAAGGAGCGTAGTAGGTGGCGCTCTGTAGTTTCTGTATACCATCAGATGTATGAATGTGATGGAAGCTAAAGAAGTATGTAAGAAGCGTAGTAGGTGGCGCTCTGTAGTTTCTGTATACCATCAATGTATGAATGTGATGGAAGCTAAAGAAGTATGTAAGGAGCGTAGTAAGTGGCGCTCTGTAGTTTCTGTATACCATCAGATGTATGAATGTGATGGAAGCTAAAGAAGTATGTAAGGAGCGTAGTAGTTGGCGCTCTGTAGTTTCTGTATACCATCAGATGTATGAATGTGATGGAAGCTAAAGAAGTATGTAAGGAGCGTAGTAGGTGGCGCTCTGTAGTTTCTGTATACCATCAGATGTATGAACGTGATGGAAGCTAAAGAAGTATGTAAGGAGCGTAGTAGGTGGCGCTCTGTAGTTTCTGTATACCATCAATGTATGAATGTGATGGAAGCTAAAGAAGTATGTAAGGAGCGTAGTAAGTGGCGCTCTGTAGTTTCTGTATACCATCAGATGTATGAATGTGATGGAAGCTAAAGAAGTATGTAAGGAGCGTAGTAGTTGGCGCTCTGTAGTTTCTGTATACCACCAGATGTATGAATGTGATGGAAGCTAAAGAAGTATGTAAGGAGCGTAGTAGGTGGCGCTCTGTAGTTTCTGTATACCATCAGATGTATGAATGTGATGGAAGCTAAAGAAGTATGTAAGGAGCGTAGTAGGTGGCGCTCTGTAGTTTCTGTATACCATCAGATGTATGAATGTGATGGAAGCTAAAGAAGTATGTAAGGAGCGTAGTAAGTGGCGCTCTGTAGTTTCTGTATACCATCAGATGTATGAATGTGATGGAAGCTAAAGAAGTATGTTAGGAGCGTAGTAGGTGGCGCTCTGTAGTTTCTGTATACCATCAGATGTATGAATGTGATGGAAGCTAAAGAAGTATGTAAGGAGCGTAGTAAGTGGCGCTCTGTAGTTTCTGTATACCACGAGACAAAGGCGTGAGTTGATTGTCCCTTACATGTGATGCAAATATATTAACTCTATGTAGTAATTCAAGGAAAAACAACTTATAATAAGTATATAAACTAAACCAGTTATTAAGAACAAACATATATAATAGTTCTCTATGATTTTATGTTCATAAAATGTAGATGTTAGAACATTCCAATTCAAATGGGTTGATTATTATTAAATGTTAATAACTGCGTAAGATTGAGTAGAGAAGTCGATCGCATTGCGAATAATTATAGTCTAAGTCTAAGATAGATCACAATTCTTACACTACATGAGCTGCTGTGTGCATGTAACAGAAAAACTACATTTGCAAAAAATTAAGACTAACTTACTTAAATACATAATAACATAACATAACATCACGCCTTTTATCAGAGGCAGAGGTGCACATTACAGCACTTATTGCCACTGTACAATGTAACACCCACTTTTCACTATTTATGTTATGAGTCCCATGTAATAGGGGGTCAGTCTATTGCCATATACCAGGCACAATTCCAGACTACATGCTACTACTGATATATTTTTTTAAATCCAGTAATACATTGCCCGACCTGGGAATCGAACCCGAGACCCTGTCGGGCACTGTAAGGAAATATACTCATTATAAAAACAAGAGAAACTCCAAGTAAAAAAAAGTAAGACATCATGCACAATCCGTTTTTATTTACTGCTGGACATAGGCGTCTCCAATATCACACCACTGAGCTTGATCGTCAGCTCTTCTCATTCAACCACTGGCAGTCACACAGCTAATATCGTCAGTCGTCACTCCACATCGCTGGAGGGCGCCCTGCGTCGCGTTCCGCGCGCGCCTCTAAGAGCCATCAGTCCACCACAGATGGGGCCCAATTTAGGGCTGATGCCGGAGCGGAGTCACAGAGGACATAATGAGCTGCCAGGGCTCTGGCTCGAAGAGCAGGAGTAGGAACTGGATGGTGTTTAGGTTCAAACAATTATTATTATTTTATTTTTTTATTATTTACTAGCAGCCCGTCCCGGCTTCGCACGGGGTAGACAATTATTTATTTTTGGAAATTTGGATTGTTGTAGTGACATAACTGCAATAGTTGGGCATATGCTGCCGCGGAGTTTTTTGTAGACATTATGATGTTCTTCAATATTGTTGTACATTATTTTGTTCTATCGCTAATAGTTTCGGCAGCGCATTCGACGAAAGACATTTCAAGACTCATTTTTCTACACCTTCGGTTACATTGTTCAAATTTTACCAAGGATCCCTAATTGTTATCAAAATGAAATGTAGCCTATGTCATATTGGAAGAATGTAGCATTCTATTGGTGAAAGAATTTTTTAAATCGGCCTAGTAATTTTTGAGCCTATTCATTACAAACATACAAAAATAGGTACAAATCTTTCCTCTTTATAATATTAGTATAGAAGTATAGATTTAATTTAGACAGGCAGTTGAAACAACTGATACCTAAATGCCTGTATCGTATTTTTACCGACTTCAAAAAAAGGAGGAGGTACTATGTTCGGCTGATTGTTTTTTTTTTTTTTTTTTTTTTTTTTGTTCGCGCAGTACTCCCCCGTTTGTGGACCGATTTCGAAAATTTTTGTTTTGTTTGAAAGGGTATACTCCCGAGATGGTCCCATTTCCATGAAGTCAGGATCTGATGATGGAATCCTAGGGAAACCGAGGGGAACTTTCGAAAATTATATGGGGAAGTAATGCGTCTATTATGTTTTTCAATTACGAATTTTAAACACTACAATTTGATAAGGGTCGAAGTCGACCTGATGATGGAGTCGACAGACAGTCGAGGGAACTCCTCAGCGGTTTATATTAACTACCTTGTGTTTGGGTTTGATTAATTTGTATTGATGAGGACTTTACACCTTGATAGGGTGGGGCTGTCATTAAGGGTCTGATGATGAAGAAGTGTAATTGTTAAGGGAACTCCTCAACGGTATACAGTAACTACCTTGAGTTTGGGCTTGATTAATTTGTATTGATGAGGACTTTGCACCTATGTATATTATAAGTAACAAAACGGGTATATGTAGCTTTACACTGAAAATGGTAAAATAATAAAATTAAAACTGCGTTTAAAAAACCGACTTCAAAAACCAAAAACTAATAACAGACAAAAAGTCAATACTAAAAAGCAAAAAATAACTATTATTAGTACTGATAGGTTACCCACCCACTGATAGGTTAGAAGTCGGTGCCATAAGCTCATATCATAATGATATATCTTAATGT